GCAGAAGACAGGGAAGGATGTGGACAGAACTAGGGTGACCGTGGGTATGAGTGAAGAACCAAAGCAAGAGACACTGCGGCCCTCGGCAGCTAGTGTGGTCAGATGTGGGGAGGAACCAAAGAAGTTAGGAAATGTCTTCCTGATAGAGTATCTTAATCCCAGCCTGGCACGAGGACAGCCTCTGGAAAGAAGACCTCACTGTTCCTAAGGACCACCTAGCTCAGCATCCCTTGCCATCATCACCACCCAGGCTTCAGGAGAGGGGCTGCGAGCCCTGGACACTCTTACTAAAGCTACTTAATAACCCTTCCCTTAAATCACTGCACCCCCAGCAGTGTTTTACATTCTCCACTTTTACCTCCACAGTACAGCTGAGACAAAACCAACATATTTGGAAAGAATTTACTAAAGGCTAGGGATTGATAAAAGGGAAGAAACCCCCAAAGATAAAATGAATCAGAAACAAGATAGAGGTTAGCCCCCTCAGCCCATAGAGCACAGTTGGCATCAGGCCCTCCCATCTCCCACATCTTCCCAAATGGCAGATACTGTGTTTAATGACCGGGCATCCCTCATAGTCAGGCTTCTCAAAGTCAGCCCAGGATAGCAAACACATGAGCACAGCCTGTGCTGTCTCCCTTGCCCCACTGTGAAATCTCAAGACCTGCTTTTTACCTAATTAAATCAGTCAATTATATGAGACCTGACCTTGCTCTTCACCATCATAATTCTCAACAATGAAAACCACAGCCACTCCAACAAACAGCAAAACACATATGCCACACACATACCAAATGCATAAACACAACTATAGAAAGGATCCATTCAAAAATATAGAAAGTGTTTAAAAGGAGTTGATTAATGAAGACAGGTGGGGGGAGTGAGAAAGAAAGAAAAGAGTTGAAGGAAAATGACCTTGGTTTGTGAAGTGGTTGATTTTGAAAAGTCGAAAATACATCCAAGCAGAAATACACAGCAGGGAAAGAAATGGGGTGTGTGTCCGTGCGTGTGTTGCTCAGTCGGGTCTCTTTGGGAACCCGTGGTCTGTTTATGGAATTCTCTAGGCAAGAATATTGGAGTGGGTTGCCATTCCCTTCTCTTGGAGATCTTCCCAACCCAGGGACTGGATTAAACTGGGGTCTCCTGCATTGCAGGCAGATTCTTTACCATCTGAGCTAAGTTAATAAAGGAGGTTAACCCTAGAGATGTTAAAAAAAAAATTTAAAAGTTGAAGTTCTAGGAATGTTTAAGTAGAAAGTATAAAACAGAGGCAAGGGAGAGGAAGAAAAAACCTTTGGGCATGCCTCTATCACACCAAGCAGGGGACACAACAGGAAAAGAGGAATTGGCAAGATAGAGACACAGAGGATGCAAATGAGACAGAAGGTGGTAAACAGGACACATTCAAGAAAGAGGAAGTGGGCAGCTTTAGAGAATGAGGCAGGTAAAACCAAGCAAGCCCACTGGATACAAAAGTATACAGTATACTAACCATGTATATGGAATTTAGAAAGATGGTAAGGATGACCCTATATGCAAGGCAGCAAAAGAGACAGATGTAAAGAACAGACTGTTGGACTCTGTGGGAGAAGGCGAGGGTGGGATGATTTGAGAGAATAGCATTGAAACATGTATATTATCATATGTGAAACAGATCACCAGTCCGGGTTTGATGCATGAGACAGGGTGCTCAGGGCTGGTGCACTGGGATGACCCTCAGGGATGGGATGGGGAGGGAGATTCAGGATGGGGAACACAAGTACACCCATGGCTGATTCATATCAATGTATGGCAAAACCCACTACAGTATTGTAAAATAATTAGCCTCCAATTAAAATTTTAAAAATTAAAAAAAAAAAAAGAAGAACATAGCTGCTTTTGGAGTGGCAGAATTTAGCACAGCGGTAGGGGAGGTCAGAACCTGGGTAAAAGAGTAATCAGCAAGAAGGGGTGGGGCATATGCCTTCACTTGGAGGAAGAAAGGAGACAGGATATGGAGGATTTAGGACTCTATGCTTGGCTGGTACTGAGAACTCTCCCATTATACTCACCACTGCCTCTCCAGCACCAAGACCTATTCCTGGAATAGGTACCCGAGAAATACTGTTCATGGAATGTTGCTTATTCAGTGAATGCTGTTGTTTGATTAAGAAAATGAACTAGTCAATGAATACAATACTAATATTTGAGGAAGGACGAGAGAATAATCTTGCTATAGCATGCGTGTGATTCAGGCATGCAGGCTGGAGTTACACTGTCTGAAGATCTAGTTGCAAGATAAAAGCTGTTGATGCAGTTCTCATCTGTTGGATTTAGTGTGGGGCAGAGAGTGGCAGTTCCACCAGGAGAGAGGCTGAAGTCAGTCTCTTTGACAGTCATCTGAAGAAAAGGGTCTTTCAGTACTGGACATTAGAACTCAGAGGAAAACACCAGGACAACTGCAGAACAGAAATCCCTCCCTGCCATGAGCATGAAGGCATCAACACATGCTGAAAGGTGGGGGAGCAAGTTGTCGAGAAGGGGCTCTCCATGTGGAGGGCAGTGGAGAGCAAGGAACTAAAAACCCAGATGAGTGCCCTCAGGGCTAGGAAAACCCTTTCGGGCTAGAAGACACCCAACTCAGGCTACTGGCTCTTGTCCTCTGTATTAAATCTGTTTGTTCTGACCCACACTTCAAGTCTTTGGAAAGTTCCAGTCTGTGTCTGAGACTATGGGAGGGTTCAGCCAGCACTGGTGACCCTAAGTGGCAGTAAGAGCAGAAAAAGCCCAGGGATGAGTGCTCCAGACTAACCACCGAGACATCTTCAAGGTTCTGAGTTTATTTTATTAGGTGACATGGTATTCCCCTACAGGGAATCCAAGAAAGGGCTTTTCTCCCTCCTGTTGCTTCTCATTTTGTTTTTTCTTTGATTCTGACCAAGGAGAGTTGAACAATTATGAGATCTAGAGAGAGAAAGCTGGTAAAGGAGAACAGAAAGGTTCGGCTATAAGAACTAATAGAATGTAATTAAACAAAGCCTCAGGAGACAGGAGAGGCCACGAGATCCAGAGAGAGCTGGGACGGTTTGTTTTCACAAAGCAATATAAAGAAACATCGAGAGCAAAGAGATGGCGAGCAAACGGAGGACAGGTGAGAAGCTGAGGGACAGAGTCAGCCAGAGAGCTGACGCAGCGCAGAAAGTTCACACAGCTGCTGTGGCGAGGCCGCCAGAGGGCTGTGGATAAGCCAGTCTCTGCAATCTAGAGGACCTCAACTGTTGGAGTTTCTAGACATGCTAATCAGCACCATTTAATAATATCAATACCTACAGCAATACTTGGTAACCTGAAGGTTTTTTTTTTTTTTTGATTGAAGATGCACTCTTACACTTGAGCCACGTTCAATTCACCATAATGGATCCAGATCCACATATCAAGTCATAATAATGGGATAAGCTCACACATCATGGCACAGTCATCTCACAATTTTGAAAAGATTCTAGTCAAAGGAATTACAATGAATCCACCCTGCCTATTTTCCTTCAAATAGAGTCAAGTTGTACTGTTTTGTACCAAGACCTTTAAGCTCTTTCAGAAGAAAGAAATCTTAGCAATTATCTAGCCCAACCTCAACTCAATGACTTCAGTTTTGACAGCTGTGGCAGACCCATCATCCCCACCGGCAGCCTTGTGTTCCTCCCCGTTTCTTAGCCACCTCTGCGGTGCACCATATAGCTAAGCTCCGACCAGCAGAACACTGATGGACCCAATCTAAGTCACCCCCAGATCTGACCCTACCTTGGATGGAGAAGGACCAGCCAACCCGCATCACAGCAGACTGCTTGAGATGTAAATAAACTTCCACCAGCATTCACAGATCTACCTCTTTCAGCAGCAAGCATTAATTGATTTTCAAGCCTTCTTTTAATTACCTAGCAACTAATGAGTTGCCAATCATGCCAGAGAAAGTGGTAGAGATTATTATGTATACCATTTATCTAATGCAACAACAGATACAAAGGATTAAAAAAAGACAGCAAACCAATCAAGTAACTCATGCTTAAAATACAGCGGCATCTCAAATTATCTGAATGTCATTGAGACATGACTTATAAGGCCTAAAGCCTCACCCACTAAGAACCAAGAAATAAGCTACAGAGGTCTTAAAACAACCCAGCCTGAGAGCTAAATGGCACTTTACAGCTTTGATCACTAGTTAGCCTCTCAGGCTAGAGTTATTCACTCAAATCATCTTGGTGTAAATAAAACAGTTTTGGAAATCCAGTTTGTTGTCTCACATCAGATAACTTCAGATAACTACTAGGAAATCAGAAACCATAAGAATTACTGCTAGAAGGGTGCATATTACAACATTCTGAGATCCATTTGTAAAGGATACCACCCGTTTTATAAAGGATGACTGAAACTCGTCCCTCCTCAGTCTTGAAGACATCATTGGAGGATTCAGCCCACAACCGGTAAAAATGACTTGATATCCTCAACTAGTTCTTGTAAGTTTCCAAAGAAGGTAGGACTATGTGTAGTAAGTCTCTGTAAATGGTTACTCAGAAGAGTTTCAGAGTTTAAGGCCACACACTTGCTTATTTGAGAAACTGACATGTGAGGGCCACCTTACTCCCCCAGTGTGCACATAATGATGTTCAAATACACACGATACTGCCATCGGTACACAGTTCAGAAGCAAAGCTGAGAATGGGTGGGTCCTCCCAAGCCAATTTGGGTGCTCAGATCCAGAGAGAGGGAAGTCAGAATTCCGCAGGAAAAATCAAGATCCAAATATCATGTGAAGCAGAAAAGATCTTACAGTTCAAGCCCCAGCATAAGGGCTAGATTCCAGGAGGGCACCCATTCATCTCCCCGCGGAGCAGGAACCAGAGCCCTCTGCTTTCTGAGCTTGAGTATAACTATCCACATCACACACACAAAATCCTTTCTGAACTTACTCAGCTTCTCCATCCCTTCCCAGGTCTCCCCTTGATCCACAGGCCTGATGCGCTCACCTGGAGAAAGCAGTGCCCAACTGCGGTGTGCTCCGGAAGCGTGGCGTTGTACACCTGCTTCAGGAAAACAGGCTCGTTGTCGTTCACGTCGTCCACGGCGATGCTCACCAGGCAGGTGGCCGAGAGCGGGGGTTCTCCGAGGTCGTGGGCCACCACTCTCAGCTCTACGGCCTCCTGGGCCTCCCGGTCCAGGCTCCGGGCGGTGCTGATCACGCCACTTTCAGGATCGATGCTGAAGGCCGGTCCGCACTCAGCGGGGGGCCAAGGAGCCTCCGGGTTGCAGAGCGCGGGGAGAGGGAGCAGCGCGTAGCGCAGCCTGGCATGGTCAGTGCCAGGCTCATCTGCGTCCGAGGCGCTGACGCACAAGACCGCGGTGCCGGGAGCCGCGGCCTCGGACACCGAGGCCCAGTAATGCTCCTGGCTGAAGAGAGGCGGCTGATCATTGAGGTCAGCAACCCGGAGCAGCAGCGTCTCCTCGGTGCTCAGCGGCGGGGACCCCGCATCCGTGGCCACCAGTCGCAAATCATACAGGTCTCGGCTCTCCCTGTCTAGGGGCCCCTCGACGCAAAGGAAAAATACCCCTGGGGAGCCTCCGGACCGCAGCACAAAGGCCCCCTCACCGCCCTCCAAGGTCAGCGAGACGCTCCCGACCCCGAGGCCTGCACTGAGCTCCCCGGCGGCCTCCTCGTCCTTCTCAGGGTCACCTTCCGCGTCTGACACCGAGACCCGAGCCACATAGTCGCCGACTCGAGCGCCCTCGAAGACGCGTGCGGCGCCTCCCTCGGTGAGGAAGAGAAGATGAATGGCGGGCCGGTTGTCATTCACGTCCAGCACCGCGATGGACACGCGCACGGTGGCGACCTCGGGCTCGGCGCCTCCGTCGCGGGCCTCCACCACCAGCTGGTGCCAGGCCTGCGCCTCGCGGTCCAGCGGCCTCTGCACCCGCACCACGCCGCTCAGCTCCTCCACCACGAAGTAGGCCGCGTCGCCCGGCGTCCCGCCGCCACCCCCTGCCCCGGGCGCCTGCCGGGAGCGGATGCTGTAGCGCACGTGGCCGTTGGGGCCCAGGTCGCGATCGGTGGCGCGCACGCGACAGACCTCGGTGCCCGGCCGAGCGTCCTCGCGCACCGCGGCGCGGTACTCGCTCTCCTCAAAGACCGGAGGATTGTCGTTCTCATCCAGCACGCGCAGTTCCACTCGCAGGCGGCCGGTGCGCCGCGGGCGACCGCCGTCCCAAGCCTCGATCTGCAGCTCGTGTGCCGCCACCGCCTCTCGGTCCAAGCGCCGAAGCAGCACCACGTCCAGGGGCTCAAGGGACGACGAGGACGGCGGCGACCCCGGGGCCCCGTAGCGCAACTGGAAGAAAGGCCCTGCGAGGTCCTCGGGCAGGTTGGACGGTGGCACCAGGGTGTAGCCCTGTATGCTGAAAAGCCCGGCGTCCGGGTCTCGGGCGCCTGGCAGGCGGAAGGCGGTACCTGGTGGGCTGAGCTCGGAGACGTTCAGTTGCAGGGAGTCCAGAGGAAAGCGGGGCGAGTGATCGTTCACGTCGTTGACTCGGATCTCCACCTGCACCACCGCGCCCAGCAGCGTGGCGGCCACGAAGCTGTAGTGGTCGCGCCGCTCGCGGTCCAGGCGCCGCGCCGTGCGGATAATGCCTGTGTCCGGGTGCACTTGGAAGTCGTCCAGCAGCGGAGAGTCATCGGAATCCTCCGACAGAAAGAAGCCGCCCCCCTCCTGCTGCTGCTGCGTGGCCGGCAGCCCCGCGCGGATGTCGCCGACCAGAGTGCCCGGAGGAAGGCCCTCGTCCACGGAAAGGCTGAGGTTGAACACCTGGGCAGCCGAGCCGGAGGCCGCCCACAGCCACGCGTGCACGTAGAGCCGGAGCAGGAAGCGCTGCGCCCCGGCGCCGCCGCCCTGCCTCCCGCGGGGTGACCCTCTGCTTCCAGGGAGCAGGAGGCGCTTCCAGGCTGGACGACCTTCACCCATCCTCCGCCCTGAAGGGCTCATGTCTCCGCCAGCTCCTTGGGAAGGCTCCCGGGTAACTGCTAGCTTGTGGTGGAGTGGCAGAAAAATCCAGGAGCCTCTACGGTGTCTGAGCCAAAGAAGAAAAGACTTTGTTTGGCAAACAAACCGACAGACGCAGGAGTTCCCGCGGTTACATCTGCAACTGGTGAAGTCGTCCTCCGCCCGCAGCTCGCGCAGACAAGCCGGGGGAGCTCGAGCCGCTTCCGCCGCTGTCAGCCACCTTTTGAGCCCCTGGATCTCTTTATACGAGTCTCATCTCTTTTTCTCTCTCCTTTTATTCCTTTTACATCTGTTCCTTGTTCGGCTCTGCTGGTCGTTTCCCCCTGGTAAGGGGCGGCCGCGCCCGCCGCGTCTCGGGGCGCCGGGGACCGCGCGCCTCCCCCCCGATTCTCCTCCGCGCGCCGTGACGCGGCCGCACACTCCGGCGAACTCCCACCTGCGAGGCGCAGCTGCAGCCGGGCACGTTCCTGGTCAGGCTGGGGGCGGAGGAGAGAGAGCAAACGTGAGAAGAGCCGGAGATGGGGGCCGTGGGGCGGGTGGGGATCGCGCAGGCTGGGCTAGGCGTGAGAGTGGCTAGGGGTGGGGAAGGTGAGGGGGCAGCCCTCCTGGCTCCATCCCTGAGACTGGCTCTGCCGCGGGCCCGACGCTGGGGAGCTCCTGCCGAGCGGAGAGGGCGGGGTGGGGGGTGGGGGTATCCTTACCCTGGAGAGCCAAACTTGTGTTCTCCATGTGGCGGGATACTCGTCCCCAGCGGAAGGACAGATGGAGTCAAAGGCGATGCACAGCTGCGGCCAGAATGACTGCAAACGGGGAGAAGGCGGAACTTGGAAAAACCTTCGAGAAACCCCGAGAAATCTGTGACACACATGGTGCAAACCAAGCTTTATTACGCCGCGTGCCGCGCGACGTGTGAGCGACTTATCGCTCACCTTTGCTACCGGCAATGACGACAATAGGTTCGGCTCGCGAACACTCTTTATGCATTCAGCGCCATCACAACACTTCCAGGATGGTTTATGATGCTGATTTATGGGCTGAAAGACTGGGCAGCCTAGGCCATCACCTTCCCAAGCTCCACCATTGCCGCTGAGCAGGGAAGTTTGCAGGCGGAGCAACTACTGATACCACTTTCAAAATAGCTTGTGTCTGAGCCGGAGATTATCAATGAATTGCTATAGTCCCGAGTTTCCCTTCAATTATCCGTAATAATAGGTAAAAATTGATAAATTGCCTTTCTTTAAAAATGCCCGTGGAAAGACTCTGCCCTCTTAAGGATGGCTTGCCGTATTTAGCAAATGGTTTCTGCAATTTTGCATTTAGACCAGAGGAAAGGCTTAATTTCCTGGATACTGTTGCTCTCCTTTGTTGTTGTTTGGTCCCTGAGTCCTGTCTGACTGTTGAGACCCGATGAACTGTAGCGCGCCAGGCTCCTCTATCCGTGGGATTTCCCAGGGAATAATCTTGGAGTGGGTCGCCTTTCCTTTTCCAGGAGATCTGACCAAAGGACTGAACCCACATCTCCTGCACTGGTAGGTGGATTGTTTATCACTGAGCCTCCAGGGCAGACATTTAAGGAGCACCAAGAGCCCTGAGTAGCAGTCCCTTAGAGCAAGATGTCTTTTTAATATATATATAATTGCTAATCTACAGCCACCTATCATCCCTATGGCTGATAAAATAACAGTATTTATTTTCTAGCAGGCACTTCCCTATGTATGGGGACATTATTGAAACAAATTCAGTGTCTCTTTACCAGTGTGTCTTTTCCACTGAGATTTGTTAGCAGTCTTTAGTCTCCTTTAATCTCAGCCTCTGAAATCTCACCCTCACTAGGCCCCCTGTCCCCTTGTAAGTGACCCTCAAGCAAGCATCCAGACTGATATTTTTAAAACTAACTCAAATCATGTCATGCACACCCCCAACCCACCCTCCCCTCTTAGAACCTGTGAATATATTTCCATTATACTTGGATTTTAATTCAGACTCCCTTCAAACAGTGCAGGACTCTACCTAGCATGGTGCTGTCCACCCTTCTGACCTCACAGCTGAACATCCAGCTCTCCTGCCTTCTTTCTGACCTTAGTTCCTATTATGGACTGAACACTTGGGTCTCCCTCAAAATTCATGTGCCAAAATCCTGTCCCCCGCCCAGTGTGATAGCTTTAGGAGGGCAAGTTTTGAGGGTGATTAGGTTACTTGAGGTCATGGGATTAGCACCTTTATGTGAATGAGGAGAGGACCTGAAGCTCTCTGCTCCTCACCTGCTGCTGCTGCTGCTAAGTCGCTTCAGTCGTGTCCGACTCTGTGCGACCCATAGACGGCAGCCCACCAGGCTCCCCCGTCCCTGGGATTCTCCAGGCAAGAACACTGGAGTGGGTTGCCATTTCCTTCTCCAATGCATGAAAGTGAAAAGTCAAAGTGAACTCGCTCAGTCGTGCCTGACTTTTAACGACCCCATGGACTGCAGCCTACCAGGCTCCTCTGTCCATGGGATTTTCCAGGCAAGAGTACTGGAGTGGGGTGCCATTGCCTTCTCTACTGCTCCTCACCATGTGATAGAAAAAGCCAGCGGCCCACAATCGGGAAGAGGCCCACCAGAAGTTGACCATGCTGGCACCCTGACCTCAGACTTCCAACCCCTGGAGCTGTGAGAACAAGTGTCTGTTGTTAATAAGCGACCTCCACCCGCACCCCAGCATCAGTGACTTAGTGGACATGAATTTGAGCAAACTCCCTGTCCTTCCCTGTGTTCACAGGGAAGCCTGGCATACTGCAGTCCATGGGGTCACAAAGAATTGGACACAGTTGAGTGACTGAACAACAACAGTCTATGGCACTTTGTGACAGCAGCCCAAGCGGACTAAGACGGCTTGTACATTTGAGTTATGACACCCTGTCTGTGCCCGGGAGTTCTTTCTTCTGATTTGTGATGATCTAGCTGTTTCTCATTCAGGTCTCAATTGAAATACCAGCTGTTTGGAGACCTTCCTTGACCACCCTACCTACCTCAAGTAGTGTCTCCACCTTAAAGCCTGCATCCTTATATTAGATTTCATTCACAGTGTCTGTCAGCACCTGAAATTAGTTTGTTTTATCCTTTTGTTTATTAGATTATTATAACCTCAACCCTCTTCAGGCACTTTAAGTGCTGCTTTATCCCAGTACCTGGAAGAGTACTACCATAGTGTGGCTTTATCCACTAAATGTTGGACGGATGAATGAATGGATGGTTGTTGAACTGAAGAACAGATGGAAAGATGAGTTGTTGAAGGAGGAGATTGAAGCCATAACTCAGAATTAATTGGTGTGAGATCTTTTATTGTGGTGAATTGTATCTTCTCAGTTTACTCATTTTGAACATTCTATGGAACTTTACACTTATTTCTTAACTTTTTCAATTTATTCTGCTAACTATATCATTATCAAATATTTACTTGAGTCTAAAAAGAAAGGAAAGGAGCTAGTTTTTCCACATCTTTCACTGACACATTCACTGTAAACAGTGGTTTAGTTTAGAAACAAATGGGAAATCAGGAACTTGAAACATCCATTTCCCCATTCATTTTTAGGCTTTCTCTTTCATCATGTATAATTCGAGGTCTCCTACCCATTTCACAGTGTCCTTTATTGAATCCTGAGCAGCCTTCTAGAATTAAGAATTTAATTTAGTTGAGTAAAAGAAATTATGTCTCAAATATGCAAAAAGTAATTTTATATAGCACAGGAGTCAACAGCCTGCAAGAACTAGGTCCAGAGCTGACCGTCTTGAGAGAAACATCAGGGTATAACTAGCAATAATTTGGGTGTTGAAGCTGGGCAGCACTGGTTCTGTTCTATAATTTGGGGCAAGTTATTTCAATCTCGATAAGCCTCAATTTCCCCTTCTCTAAACTGAAGATTAAAATATTTAGCTCTCAAGGATGTTATGAGCCTTAAAGGAGACAATGTATGTGGACCAGCACATAGAAGGCATCCAGTAGATGTCACTTCTCTTGCCCTCTGTTGTTTGCATGATTAATATTTTAGGGGTAAATGTTTGGGAATTATCAGTAATATCAAACTCTAACTTCTTAGCCCCCTTGAGTATTAGGAGAGGAAAAATATAAAATTCCTAGATTCATAAACAGACATTATCATGGGCAGAAATAGCAGATTTTCCCTTGGTGATACTTGGTTTAAGTAGTACAGGAAGTCCATCATCAAAAACTTTTCCTCACAGCCTGTAGATAGTCCATCACTTTGTAAAAATTAACTTAAATAGTCTAAGTAGATAGTAAGGGCCTGAAGAATCTCACATGAATCCTTCGGGAAAGGAATTATAATTTTTATCCCCATCTTACAGATGAAGTAACTGAGGTTCAGGGCACTGCAAGTAACTTGATCAAAGTCACATAAGTATATAAGTGGTGGTATACCTGCTGGTGGTTTTCTGAGAACTTCACTGGTCATTTATCATCTCTGTGACCTTCATTATCATCTCCATGAAAATCTGTCATGCTTGTCATGCTTCTGAGTTCTCACTGAAATCCACACAGTGAGATAGAAAGAGTTTTTGAAAGACCTTGGAGAACTACAAAAAAAAGAACTTTGGACACGTGCTTGGGCGAATGGCGAAACGGCATAGGAGAGGAGCCTCAGTGAAGTGGCTCCTTCGGGACTCAACAGAAAGAAGCCAACTATTTAGAAACGGTACTAAAGGCAAGTGAGGAGAATTATGTGGAATATGGAGGGGTTTCTTCCCTTCTGCTTCCCCAAGGGGAAGACCCTCTGAAGTTAGGAAGGATGCTATGACTGCAGGGAGGAACCTTGCCACCTTTGGTTCATATGCCATCTTTCTAAAAAGATTAACTGAAGACTGTTTGGAGTGTTTAAATCAGGGTTAAATTTTATACAGCAGTTTGGCTAGGCCATGGTTCTCAGTTCTTCAGTCAACCACTAGTCTGCATGTTGTTACAAAGGTATCACATGGATGTGATTAAGTTCTGTGAGGAGGGAGATAATCTTAAAGATGTGGTAGCCCTCACCTTATCAGCCAGGTGAAAGCCTTCTGAGCAAAATCTAAGGTTTTCCAGAGAAGAAGGAATTGTGCCTCAAGACTATAACTTAGAGATCCTGAGTTTCCACCCTACTGGTCCGCCCTACCAGTTTTGAACTTTCCAGCACCCCACCCCCACACAATCCTTTAAGCCAATTACTGTATGTTTCTTGGTTCTGTTTCTCTGGAAAACTCTAATAGAGAGCTTTATAAAAGGAAGTGATTTAGTGTCTAATATCAAAGTCTGTATTTCATATATACATATACCTTGTGTTCATAAAGGTTTAAAGTCATGATCTTGAACATGATGAGGATCTTGTCCAGATAGGTAATACATGCTAGATAATCCAGCATAACCTCCCTACCTTAGGACATAACCCATCCCAAAGAGATAAATGATAGTTTTTTCCTTCTTTTTGGTTTTGAGAATTGATTCTATACATATCCATTCTCTTCTCAACCCAGCAGAATATGATTTAATTTTATAGAGTATTGGTCTCTGTTTTTGTTATCAAGGTATAATTATTTCCTCTGGCTCTTTGGGAAAATGGAGAAAAACAGGTCAATAATTTCTTTATAGTAATATTTCATCATGTGATTGGGGAGAAGTATAACATGGCTTATCATTAAGTAGATTTGGATATACTATATCAAATCATATTTTTTAAATCTAGTAGAAGCTGGAATGTGAGAGTTACATACTAAAGTTCTCCCTACATTTGAAGATTATGGTATCAGGAGGCCTGAGACAGAAGCCCTAGCTAAAGTAATTCCTGCCCAATTTTTCCCAAGTTTTCACT